GAATGGGGGGAAGTGGGTGGGTAAATCCCAACCGCCCCCACCGGAGCATCCTCCCTCCAGGTGTTTGTCTCTGCCCTGTGGGGCTGCCACGTGCCAAGAAGGGACCATGGCATCATGGGTGACCATGCAGAGGGGCCGCAGGGCCCCCTGTACCGAACCACTGTCCCTGCAGGTGCTGCCGGTCCAGGTGCTCCACCAGGCTCTGACCCGGAGGTTTTTACCCAGCATCAAGGGGATGAAGAGGGACAAACGGGGTGACAGGTGGTCTTACTCATCATCCCCTCCGCACAGCTTCAGCAGGGCCTTCTTGTACTCTCCGGAGGTGTCCTCCTGGAAAGATAGATGGAGATGGAGAACGATGCAGCAGGGAGGGTCAAGGTAGTGCCATGGGACAGGCGCATGGAGAGGGGTCTCCCTAAGCCTTGTCTTCAGAGATGGACACCCAGCACAGGGTGGCTGGGGAGGGGGCTCAGCCCTCCCATGGGTGCTGGCATCATAAGGGAAGCAGCACTAGCAGCTGCTTGGAGGGTGACCGGGGACCCCCGGCACTTACCTTTATCATGTTATAGAGAGATTTCTCATACTTGGTCCTGAACACCTCCCGGATGTCCAGCATGTCAATCTCACTGCGGGACACCATGATACGGATCAGCGTGTTGTCTCTCGTGCCCAGCCCCTGCAATGGAGGAGCCCCTGCATCAAGCCTGGGATGGCCAAGCAACCCTGCTCAGCCCATCAGATTTGGGACCCTCTACCAGATTTCTATCCGGCCCCAGGTCTGAAGGAATAACTCCTTTGGAGGGACGAGCAGAGACCCCAGGTCACATAGGTCCTGTCTTCATGGACCTGCATCACCCTGCCCTCCAGCAGCACCCTGTGGCAAGGGGACCCCTCCTCTGGCCAGCTCCCCGCAATGCTGCAGGGGACCCTCTGGAGAAGGGGTGATCCACTCACCTTCATGGCCTTGTAGAGCCTTTCAGCAAAATACTCTGCCGTGCTTCTGATGCACTTCACTGTGGGGAAATGGAGGCGTGGTGAGGGATGCCAGCACCCGGCTTCACCAGTGCCCCCAGGCTCTGAGCACCCATGCCCCTTGGGCACCACATCCAGTGTCTCCACCCACCCTGAAGGAGCCTGCCGCCCTGAGCTCCCTGAAACCAGGTACAGCCGCAACCCTGACCCCGCTGGCTCTTGCGCTGAGCCCTCCCACCCTGGCAAGGCCAGTGGTATGTTTTCGCAGCACTCCCCATGCAGGGGCTGACTTACCCACAGCCAGCATCAGCTTCTCGAAGTCACCAGAGAGCTCTGCCCGGATGCTCCTCTCGATCGGCTTCCCAGAAATCTTCAGGTACTCATCAAAGACTGCGGGACAAGAGTGAGATGATGCCTGGAGAAGCTGCCAAGATACCTTCAAGCCCAAGCCCAAGCTCACAGGAGATGCTCACCCAGGCGGAGGTGCTGCTTGCTTCGCCGGCCAAGGATGTAGATGAACTGGGCCTCGTCCGTGCCCCATTTCAGCTCACCGGCTTCCAGCAGATCCTTGTGGGATGGGGAAGGCGGAAGAGCCCGAGTCAGGGTGCTGCTCATGTGGGGCTCTGCCCAAGCACTGGCACCCTTGGGCGCCCACCCACCTTTCGCAGGCCTAAGTCTGGATGGTCCCAGTGCCATCAGCCCCATGCCTGCCCAGATGCCACCCATCCCAGCGACCTGCCAAGCCTCACCTTGGCATCCTGCTCCACCAGGTCCTCACTCACCACGTCATCCTCCTCCCTGGTGCCCTGTGGGACAGATACGGGCTCAGCCCTGCTGGGCGCAGGCACCCACCACCTACAGACACTGGACAAACGGACATACCTGAAGCAGAACGACAAGCATCTTCTTGAAATGGCCCGATGTGTCTCCAACGATGTCAGCCTCTAGGTCTCTCTCATAGGCTGGTGGAAGAGGGAGAGGTCAGGGCCTGGCAAGCTTGATCCCTTCACCTCTGCCCCTTGTCCTGGCCTAAGGGGACACAGGGCAGCCCCTGCCCTTCCCCAGCCCTCACCGTCTTTGTAGGCGGCCACCAGGTCGTGGATCTCCTGGTTGGTGCGGGAGGCAAGGATCTCAATGAGGCACTTCTCATCCGTGCCGATGCCCTGCAGGCAGAGACACAGACCTGTGAGTGGTGGGCCCAGCTGGGGCATCCTCGGAGGGGCCCCGGGGGGGTTGCTAACCCCTTACCCCGATGGCATCTTTGATCTCCTTGGCGTCGCTGTAAGCTGGGGGCCGCATCAGGCTCACGATCAGCCGCTCAAACTTCCCCGTCAGCTCGTATTTGAGGTCTGCGATGAGGTCCTGGTGGAGAGGGAGAAAGGGGCTGGGGGACCCTTTGCTCCACAGCATCTCTGAGTGGGTCCAGGGAGCGGTGGGTCCCTGCGTGGGCTGGTTGGTGGCAGCCACGGCCACCTGCATCTGCAGTGGGGGCACGGACCAGGGAGCGTTTCTGCCGTTACCTTCCCGTAGAGGGACTTGTAGGCTTGGCAGATCTCCACTCGTTGCTTGTTGCTTCTGGATGTGATGAGGTCGAGGATGGTTTCCTTGTCACTGCCTGCGGGAAGAGCCGGGAGTCACACTTAGCCCCACAGCTGGGTCTCACCATAGCCATCCTGCTGTGCCCAAAGCTGCTTCCAACTCGGGGCTGGGAGGAGAAGCAGAGCCGAGCTGGCTCCAGGGAGGAAAGGGGAGCCAGGAGAGGTCCTGGCACGCTGCTAGAGCAGCTGAGAGCAGAGGCGATGCAGGATGCCCAGCCATGCAAGGGTCAATGGAAGGAATAGGGAACATGAGGGTGGCCCTCGGGTGACAGTCTGGAGGAGCATCCATACCAAATCCCTTCATGGCATTGTACAAGGCCTCCGCGTCCTGGCTGGCATCAAAGCCTTGGAAATCCTTCACCGACCCCCTGTAGACCTAGGGGGAAAGGAGGCGAGAAGGTGAAAGGGGAAGGAGCAGCCCCCAGTGGGAGGGGGGGAAGGAGAAGTTGAAGCTGAGCAGGATTGGGGCGAGATCTGCTCCTGCTCGGGCTCTCCGAAGGCAAACTTCAGCCTCAAACATAAACACTTGTTCTCCTCAGTTGTTTCCTTTCCTGTTTGCTCTCTCCGCCGTGCAAATTCTTTGTGTGCCAGACCACTGGAGTACACAGCCTTCCCGCTTGTATCTCACTGGCATCGCTCTCTGTTTGCTGCTTGTGCCCCGTGTTTAAGCTGGATACAACCCTCCCTGCCGTGCCAGCAAGAGCTGGTGGTTTGAAGAGAGGTTCCTTGAGCACATTTGGGTGCCCAGCTCCATCTGGGGTTAGGAAAAGGGGAGATGCCACGGGAGAGTTGGACACCCTGAACGCAGGGGAAGGCATAGAAGGACCGGGACGATCCCCCTGCCATGCAGCCGGGCTGAAGGGAGTTATGGGACGTGGATTGGGAGCAATGAAGGAAGTCATTTTCTTACCGCCTGTTGCGAGCAGGGAAACCCTCCGGATGCTGAGGATGCCCAAGCTCTGCATGGCCTTCAAGCCTTACAAAATCATTGTGGGCTGCTAAGTGGAAAGCACTGAGAAGTGCCAGAGCTTGTCGTGCCCCAGTGTGTGCTCCCGCAGGGCCCAGGCTGGTCCGAGGTGTCGGAGCAGAGATCCTGGATACAGGGAAAGACTTTCCTGGGAGCCTGAGAAATCCTGGGGGTTGGCATGATCCACTTCTGTCTGTGCCTCCAGGCTGCACAACGGAGCCCAGGAGCAACACTCCCAGAGACCTCAGGAAAAAGTAGGGACTGGATTTCCCCTCCCTAGGTCAGCTTTGCCCGGGGGAATTCACCCCGGAGCCTGGGGCTGGACTCGGAACAAGATCAGCACAAACCCTGGGTGGAAGCAGATGTGAAACCAGCCTGGCCCTACATAAGGAATTGGGACACATCCCCACCAGAGGCAGGGAGTGGGAAGAGCTGAACAGCAGCGTTTCCTCAGCAGTCTCACTGGGGAAGAGGAGGGCTGGGAGCCAGGCCGAGCCGGGGCTCTCAGCTGTGTCAGCACCCTGGGAAACTCTGAGCATCTTCCCTTGGCTCTGCTTGTACCATGCGCCAACTGGGTGCGTACACCTCCCAGGGCTTGCTTGCTCAGGATCTGCTGCGGGGCTGGTTTTAAAATCCCCAAGAGCTGAACGAATGCCCAGGGCTGTTGCCAGCATGGGCATCTAAAGCTGACATGTCCCCAGAGAAGATGGGCATCAGGCAGGCAGCACCAGTACCAGCATCCCTGACCCAGCAAGTGCCTCCAGAAATGAACATAAGGGGATGGACATGGCAGCCCTGTGCCTGTCGCTCCCCTGGGCCCCATCCCAATGCTGCTGCACAACAGCTTCACTGTGCATCTCACACAGCTGGCCTCTGTACCCCCATTTTGCAGAGAGAAACCCGTCCAGGCTGGGCACAGGCCCTCTTGGGAGGAGCTGCTGGCACTGGTGTCCCACGTGGTGGGGACCAGGTCAGGCAAGAGGAGACGCTGCCCTTCGAGGGACCCAGGCAGGCACGGGACAGATCGTATTGCAGGTGATTTCATCCAGAGAGCTGGATTTAGCCTCGCTTCCCGGCAGCTCCCAGACCCTCCTGGCTCGGTGCAAACTGCTGCCCACACACATGCCTTGCAGAGACGTAAATAAGGAGTTGCAGGGCAAAGGAGGTGCCCGGAGGCAGCAGGAGGGGATGAAGGTGGCTGGAAGGTGCTGGGGTCGCACGGGTGGTGATGGGGAGGCAAGTTGTTGGTTCTGGTTAAATGGGGAGGAGGAGCAGGGCTGTGTTCCTGCCTGCTGAGACGTTGAAGCACGAGCTGCCTGCCTTGCCACAGTGCTGCCATGGCAGGGGCAAGGGAAACTGAGGCAGGAGCTCAGCGCTGTGCATCGCCCCATTCTCTCTGCACACCTGGAATGAGCCCCAGGGCAGTGCAGAAACATGACTCGGGAGGGAAACAGCATCCTGCCCACTGCACCGTCCTCACACCCCCATTCCCCTTTCCATCCCCCGCTTCAGCTGCTGGGGCCCCCCGCCTCCCCTCCTCCAGCCTCTGAGTCATCCCGGCCTGCCCGGGACCTCCCAGCTAAAAATAAGCCAGGCTGGGGCCGGGAGGGAGGAAGCAAAATTCCCAGCGTGGCTTCGCTCTCTCCCACCACATGGCTGCTCGGGGTCCTGGACCACTGCAGGGGTGATGCTCACCCGTGCTGTGCCTCAGTTTCCCCACCCAGAGGCAACCACCCCCTCTGCTGGGCAGGAAGCCGAGGGTAACTGGGCTTGAGGCAATGATTACTTGATTTCTCAAGCAAATGGAAAGCAGAGCCTGTCCCTGAGCAGCGGAGAAGGGAGGCTCTGGCCTTGGGACTCCTCCCCTGCCTAGCACAGTGCAGGAAGGATGTATGCCGCAGGCACGCCTTTCTCCGCACGCCACTGCATGCCACAACC